CGACCGGTTTCGACCGTCGCCACACGGTCATCTTCAGGGGGAACCACCAAAAGCTTCGCCCTCGTCAATACCCAGACTTTCCACTTTTCCACCTCTGAGGCTAATCCCGTCGTCATCTCCGAAAACGGCGGTGGGGTCACGACGTCAGACCCAAAAGGATTAACAGCAATGCAATCATTATCTTTATAGCCCATTTTTTTGCAGATCTTCGTACAAGCTCCTCTAATCCTACCAAAACGGTCCTACCCCCCGTACCCTGGGGGCTAAGAACAATAGCAGTCCCACAGTGGGTTGTTTTACCATCTCAGGTAGCGGAAGTGGTCAGAGGGACGGACCATCAGTGCCCGAATTCCCGACTTGTGGCCGGGATACCGCTTCACCGGTAGCGGACCAAAGATCGAGGTCCCCATTTTTCGGGCGGTCGAACGGTAGACTGAGGAACTGCCAAACCGTATCTCTACTGGGCACGAAATAACGCTCTATCAAACGGCAAAAAGGTTTCAACGAAAGAACGGTACAAGTAAAAACTCCCTTAGCTGTAAGAGCCCTGTCCGAGCATACATGCATAACAAACTCAGTACAGAGTCCGCCCAAGCATACAGAACAGTCGGTCATAAGTGCTTAGTCAGCGCATCTATGCTTAACAGTTTATTTCACAAAAAAAAAACTTACCCAGTCATATCTGCTGGAAACGGATCTACAAAGACAAAACAACAAATTTACAAAAACAACTACAGCAAAAAACAAAAAGAACAAAAAATAACGTCGAGATCTGTCCTAATGTACGTAGCATGATCATGTGACTAAAAAAAACAACAAGCTACAGAGGTCGCCACAAAAAAGAAATAGAAAAAAGCACACAGAGCAAGGTAGCATTCGCAGGGAAAGATAGGGACAAGGGACAGCTTCGTCGGCGCAGGGGCTAATACAGCCAGTCGTTAATCTTCGCCTAGATCGGGTCACATCCCTTTGCGAAAATTCTTAGCACTCTTTCCAGGAAATGTTTGGGGAAGTTCTTGATCCGCAACTCTCGTGACAAAGTAAGGACCTTCAGTGGGATCCCCTCACGGACATTTGTGTTGCACTGAATCCTATGGAGGTAACTTGCTACGACTGCACTCTTGTGTGCCTTACTACCCCAAGAGTGAAACCACTGCCCATTCTTAAATTCCAAGCTGCCATCCTCCCAAATTGTCTTTTCGTTCTTGATCGTCTGCACATAGGAAATATACGGTTGCAGCATGTTGATTCCCATCCTTGTCCCCAAGAAGTCTCATGTTCCTTTTGCGTCATCCGTACGCTTCAGAGTCAGGTTGTCCGGATAGCAGGATTGGAAACTCTCCCTGATTTCAGTGATGTGTTCGCCATTACCTTTTTTATCCAACACAATCATGCTGACGTCATCCATCCGCCGTAAGCCAAACACCATTTGTCTCATGCCACCCAGACTACGCAAGAATCTGAACTCACCAAAAACACACATAATACAAGCTAATGGGGGGCTCGTGCTCTTCCCCACCGGGATCCCCACTACTTGCCTAAGCAACACACCCGTCGCCTTCGTGTAAGTGTGTTTTAGATCCAGGTGCACGAACGATCTGATCATCTCCAGATCAAGCATTCTTTAGTGGTCATCCCCTGTTGTCCGCCCGAAAGTGCTGCCTCTGCCCCTGGGATTCACACGTACGGCAACCCTGCCTCTCTCAATGCGGTATTTTATTACCCAATCAACGGCTGCAATTATCTCCTCAAGGGGCAGTTTACTAAACATGTCTTTGATGTCGTAAGACATCGCGACAAGTTTAGACTACACCTTCATCGTCCGATCTATGGAGATGTTGAAGGTTGCAATACGTGGGACCAGATCTGACACAGATTTGAGATTGAAATGCCATTTGGACGACAATGTGAACAACAGATGGTTCAAAGTTTTTGCCACGTTGCGACAGGTCTTCACGGTAGCTTCATAATATGTAGGGCAGATGGGCCTGTAGCGGTCGACATCTTTATGTTTAGGCAAGGCGTAAGCCTCGCCAACAGCGCCCTTGCTGTCCCATCTGATAAATTTTGGCAGACCCGCTTCTTTCGCTTCCCGTCTCTGTCTCGACATCACTTTCCTTTCTTCTTTCGCAATCACCACATAACCCGTGCTTCCTACGAACAGATTCAACATAGCGTCGTAGTAGACTTTCGGGCACATAACAAAAGTCTCCCCAGGATTTCTATCCGAAGGTGTGAGTACAAGCCCTTGCAATCTCAATCTTAGGCAGTGTAGCTCGCTCGAATTCAAAAATTTCTCTGGCATCGTGATGCCCGTTACAATGCACCTTGCTGCTTCCTCTTCGCTAATAGCTATAGACTTCACCCTACAGTTCCTCCAAGACACCGTCTGAGATTTCCTTCCTGAGTAAGCGTCCTCTATCAGGGTGAGAAAGCTTGGGGATATTATTAGCATTGCATAGTAGGGGGATGACATCAACCAGTTCCTGAAGTCTAAATTGAACGTGCTCGCCTATCCTAGGATAGGGCATTCGTGTACAAATACGGGTGAGCACCTCAGCTCGGGCAAATTGCCGCTGATTGTGCAAGGTATCTGCAACGGAGGGATTCTTAGTACCTACGATGCGAACCTGATTACGTGCAACCAACTTCAAATAAACTGGCAGATCCAGATCCTCAAGCTTATCGTTCACAAGCTTCCGCACTTCCACCAAACGTATTCGATCATCAAATCTCAGGCGAATGGTGAGCTGCGCATTGACGTGTCATCCAAACTTCTCTTTAATCGTACGTTCTATCAGCCATCAGAGGTATGCCGTCGTCGATGCTCGCCGAAACTCCTTCGCGGCCCCATTCAATCGTACCAACACATCGACATTGCATTGGTTTAGCGCTTCCAGACGTCGATGATTTCGTAGAATCGAGAGCAGGAAGTGTTTATCCGGCCCAATTTTTCGTCTCAAACGGCGCAGGAAGCAAATCTCAATGTAAAAGCCTTTCTCCATCTGACCCTTGTATTGATACAGAAGAAGGCGATGTCCCTCCACTTTAACAATCGAATTATATGGAGATCTGCAAAAAAAATGGCGGTGGGGTCACGACGTCGGATCCAAAAGGATTAATAGCTCTGCAATCATTATCTTGATAGCCCGTTTATTTGCAGATCTCCATACAAACTCCTCTAATCCTGCCGAAAAGGTCCTACCCCCCGTACCCTGGGGGCTAAAAACAACAGCAGTCCCACAGCGGGTTGTTTTCCTATCTCAGGTAGTGGAAGTTGTCCGAGGGACGGACCATCAGTGCTCAAATTCCCGACCAGTGACTGGGACACCGCTTCACCAGTAGCGGGCCAGAGATCGAGGTCCCCATTCTACGGGCGGTCGACCGGTAGACTGAGGAACTGCCAAACCGTGTCTCTACTGGGCACGAAATAGCGCTCTATCAAACGGCAAAAAGGTTTCAACGAAAGAACGGTACAAGGAAAAACTCCCTTAGTTGAAAGAACCCTGTCAAAGCATACATGCATGACAAATTCAGTACAGAGTCCGCCCATTAATACAGAACAGTCGGTAATAAGTGCTTAGTTAACATATCTATGCTTAACAGTTTATTTCACACAAAAAAAACTTACCCAGTCATATCTGCTGGAAACGGATCTAAAGAGACAAAACAACAAGTCTAAAAAAACAACTACAACAAAAACCAAAAAGAACCAAAAAAAAACATCGAGACCTGTCCTAATGTATGTAAAATGATCATCTGACTAAAAAAGCAACAACAAGCTACAGAGGTCGCCACAAAAAAGAAACTGAAAAAAACACACTCAGCAAGGTAGCATTCGCAGGGAAAGACAAGGACAAGGGACAACTTCGTCGACGGAGGGGCTAATACAGCCACTCGTGAATCGTCGTCCAGATCGGGTCACGTCCCTTTGCGAAAATTCTTAGCACTCTTTCCAGGAAATGCTTGGG